TTCATAGAGGCATCCTTTTAAGTAATAACATAAATAACATTAAGAGGTGGCTGTATACATTTAAAACCTATCTCTAGGTCTTAGTTTCCTTTCCAGCAAAAAAAAAAAAAAAGACAAAAGTGACACAACAGTCCATTCTTTATAGCTCCAAAACTCAATGACAGTCTCTAGGTTCACGGCACCTCTGATGTCTCAGTAACTTTCTGACAGCATTCCAAGGCCAAAAAAACAACCAGTTCCACTTATGAAGTTGTTAGTAGCCATTTGAAAAAGTAATCTACCTAAATCGAAAAAATATTGGGCTTTGTTTCATTCTTAATCATAATTACTTATGAGACATATACTACTATTAGACACTGTACAACTTCTCAAACCTTAGAATTAGAGGGGACATGGTCTTTACACTTCCTGTTCCATACAGATTTTCATGATCTCAGCATAGGGCACTATAAGCTGAATCCAGAAAGTCAAATTAAAACTTATACATGAGGGGCGGGCACTGTAGCAGGTGAAGCTGCCACCTGCAGTGCCAGCATCCCATATGGGCGCCAGTTTGAGTTCCAGCTGCTCCACTTCCGCTACAGCTCTCTGCTGTGGCCTGGGAAAGTAGTAAAGGATGGTCCAAGTACTTGGGCTCCTGCACCAGCATGGGATACCTGGAAGAAGCTCCTGGCTCCTTGCTTTGGATTGGCACAGCTCCCGCCATGGTAGCCACTTGAGGAGTAAACCAACGGATGGAAGATTGATCTCTTTCTCCACTTCTGCCTCTCTGTAACTCTGCCTCGCAAATAAATAAATAAATAAATCTTAAAAACAAAAAACTTATACATGAGGGGCCAGCACTGTGGCGTAGTGGGTAAAGCCTCCACCTGCAATGCCGGCATCCCACATGGGTGCTGGTTCAAGTCCCAGCTGCTCCTCTTCCAATCAGTTCCCTGCTGATGGCCTGGGAAAGCAGCAGAAGATGACCCAAGTGTTTGGGCCCCTGCACCTGTGTGGGAAACCTGGAAGAAGCTCTTGGCCCCTGGCTTCGGATCAGCAACGCTCTGGCCATTGTGGCCATCTGGGGAGTGAACCAGAGGATGGAAGACCTCTTTCTCTGTCTCTACCTCTCTCTGTAATTCTTTCAAATAAATAAAATAAATCTTAAAAAAAAAAAAAAAAAACTTATTTTAAATGAGGGGCCTGCGCCATGGCTTAGTAGGTTAAGCATCTGCCTATGGTGCCAGCATCCCATACAGGCGCTGGTTAAGAGTCCCAGCTGCTTCATTTCTGAGCTGGTTCCCTGCTGATGGCCTGGGAAAGAAACAGAAGATGGTCCAAGTGCTGGTGCCCCTGCACCCACGTAGGAGACCCAGAAGAAGCTCCTGGCTCAGTATTAACCCAACATTTGACATTTGGGGAGTGAACCAGCAATGGAACACCTTTCTCTGTCTCTTCTCCCTCTCTCTAGTGTGTAACTATGCCTCTCAAGTAAATAAGTAAATCTTTAAAAAAATATGAAATTTTAGAAGAAATATCACAAAGTATATAGAAAGACAAATCAGAGATCTGCAGTTCATGTCAAATGTTGATATACTTATCAAAATAAATGCAATATAAAAAGAAAGTGCAATTTTAAAAAAATACTATAAAAGAAATATCCTAAGGACTAATAACACTAGGAAAAAACAAAAAATTTATAAACTATAATTTTTAAATGGCACTAAGAACTGCCTTTGAAATATACCGAAAGTTATAGAGCAAAACTCATTTGATTATAAGACTTTTCTCCACAAGTGTACAGCTTATTATACTTGTGTTCACAACATGCTAAAATTTAACCATTTCAAATGCACTCATGTGCCTTTTATCTGAAAAACATCTTAAGTAAAATCTGTAATACAAGATTATCTGTAAATTCTTGGCTTATGAAAGGATATTTGATACATTATTTCACTTGACTGCTACCTATCATCTATACTGTCTGAAAAAGGCGATCATAGAAACTGATCCACTTTCTCCACTGCTCCACACTAAAATGCACATTTGTCAACTCTTTATACTATAGCACAACTCCCTCCCCAAAAGATTCAGTGAAAATTCTGTCAGCTGAACCAGATGTTTTATTAAGTATTACAGTAGGTTGATCAGAGTTCTGAAAATCTTTCCTACGCACAGTAAGAGCACTTCACCTGCATAGACAATTCATCTGCTAAGTGTGCCAAACTGTATGACATCAATTAATAATCATTCTTAGACCACTTTATGAGATCTATTATTATCAGTACTCCTAACATCTGTAACAGTGTGGTGGATAAACTAAATGATTTATCTTAGCCTTAAGATGACATTCTGTTTTTACTTAGCTGGTGGCCCACAGTTAAACTCCACGTCTTAAACTTCCCTAGTATTTTTTTATACTGGCACTAAGTGTAGTAGTAAAAACATTTAAAAGGAATAGAGAAGAATCATTTAACTACCCAAAATACAATGCTATCCCAGAAAGTCTTTCCACTTGATTCAAATAAATTCCAAAATCAATTTACCAGGAATCCTTTCCCTAAATCCATATATACATGATAGTTATATGACTATCATTTCCAAGACATCCTAAGAGCAACTTACTAAAGCACCCCACCACAAAATGACTATTTCTGTTTTTTAAAAAAGGTGGCTACAATTTGATAATTAATTTACTACACTGGGAGCTTAAATTTTAAAGAAATCCTGTACAAAGTTTTTATATGATGTAATCAGTCATTCTCCTATCCTACACTATTTTAAAAACTGGCTTTTTAAATCCAGAGTTTGCTAACAGTAGAGCAAATGTGGACAGGCAAGAAGAGACATGGGCCTTTACTATAACCACTACACTAACTGGAGCCTTTGGTAGCCGTAACACGGAGTCCCTCTTGGCAAAATTTTGAAAAACTTCAAACTTGGGCCCTTCCTAGCAATGTAAATATATTCAGTTAATAGAAACCTCAGTTCCACAGAGAATAGAAAAGTGACCGTGACTTCTTGGAAAGGAAACGGCTATCTAGTACAATACCCAGGCCACTCTGCCTACCTCACAGGGACAAAAAGACACATCTATTTGGAAATCGTTTCCTCTCTAGCCAAGGGCTGTTTCCAGATAAAGACGACGCTCAGAGGACAACAAATAAGCCTTCTGTGAGAGACGAAATGTGCCAGAAAAGGAGAGGCACGGGTCGGGAATAATCCGAGGGAGTGCATGCGCTCAGGGTGAGGGCTGCAAGCAGCAGACACAGCACTGAGATGCTCCAGTGCAAGCAGCAGCAGCAGCAGGAAGTTTCAATGGGGCCGGGCAGAGCATGCGCCCTGCACCCGCGCGGTGGCCTTATGTGGAAGGAGCACCACTTGCGAACACCAATAATAGACCAGCGGCACCAGAGAGAGAAACAGGAGCAACAAGCACCTTCTTCAACTGTTTCCCCCTCCGACAGAGCCCCTCCTCCAGCCTACAGACTAACCAACCCACCCCACCCTGCGAACGGGAGGGCGACTTCTTCTTCCCTCGCGGCCGGCAGCCGAGACGAAGGGGGAAGGGACTGGAAAAGTGGGGAGATGCTTTTCTATTATTTGGGGGAGGTGGGGAAAGGGAGGAGGAAAACTGGAGGAGGAGGAATTAACCCTCTCCTTTCCGAAGTGAAGACGCTGAACCGACTTAGCCACCCTACAGCAGAACGAAGGAGGAGCCCCCTGCCCTGGGGGAGGAGCGGACCTCCCCACTCCAGAGGAAGGAGTTTTGGGGGTTAAACCAGCCCTCCAGGGGCAGAGAGGAGCCCACTCTGTCTGGGTGTTCCAACCAAAGGGAGGGAGAGTTGAGTGTCCCCAGGCCCCCCGCCCACCCAGGAGGAGGGAGATAAGGGGGCGCCCAGAGAAGGACCCAGCCTCCCCCGAGACGGACTGGAGGACTGGTGGGAGGAGGGGAAGAAGGCAAGGAGGGGAGGAGGAGAAAAGCGCAAAGCTGGCCGGAACCTGCGCTCCCCTTCCCCCGCCACCTAGCGGGAGAAGGGGTGGGGGGCCGGCCCCCGCGGCGGGGGAGCCGTCCCGGGGGCCGCCGGCCGGCACAATGACCCCTCCCCGCCCCCAGCCCACACCTAGCCCGAGACGCCCCCACCTCAGCTCCGCGCCGGACACAGTGGCCCTAGGGGGCCTCCGCCCCGCCTCCCCACTGCCCAAGACCCCGGCGGCTGGGCGGAGAAGAGGGCCCCGCGGAGCTGCGCCCCGGGGTGGGGGGGAGACTGAGCTGCGAGGGCCCAGGGTGTCTGAGAGCAGCGGAGAGAAGGAGCACGCCAGGGCCGCTTCCCGCCGGGCGTTCGGGGCCCCTCGCTTACCTTCTCCGTGGCCGACGTCCGGCGGCGGCGCCTGCAGCACCCGCTCCAGCTCGGGGAACGGCAACTCAGGCAGGTCCAGCAGCGGCCCGTAGCGCTCCAAGAAGGAGCAGACTACGGCGAAGTTGGGGCACGAACCCGGGCAGCCCGGAGGAGCCATCGCCGCCGCCGCTGCCGCCGCCGTCGCCATTTTGAACTGGAGGATGGAGGAGGCGGCGATGGGGGGGGTGGGGGGAGTTGGGGGTGCCAAGGAATGGCAGGGCAGCCTTACGGACGACAGGAGGCGCTCTCGAGGGGGCTCCCCTGCGGATCCGAGCGTCTCAGGGACTGCGCCGCGATCCCACAATACAACGGCGGCCCGGAGCAGTCGAGAACCGCGTCAGACGGGGGACAGAGAGGCGCTCCGTGCCTTTCACTTTCCGCCCTCTTTCCTCCCCCTTCCCTCCCTCTACGTCTCCCCTCCCACTTCGGGTTGCCACTGCCTCGTGTGACAGGGGGAATGAAAACAAGGGAAGCGGGGCGGGGAGGCGGGCCGGAGGGGCGGGACTTTCGAGAGCCTGGCCAATAGGCGTGGAGGGGGCGGGGCTGGGTTCCGGCCGGCCGGAAGGCTGACTGCAGGCCGGGTGGTCAGGGAGGGCCTCGCGGGATCGAGAGGACGCTCCGAGGTGAGAGGGCGAGTGCGGGGCCCTGTGGGAAGCCACCCAGAAGAGAAGGCGTTGGGTGAGTTTGCAGGGGCATCCAGGGACTCAAAGCGGGCTACGAGGAGAGGAAAGTTGAGAACCGAATGAGAAGCAGAAAGAGTAGCAGGTAAAAGCACGATTGTGGGAGGACGTTGGGAAAGCGAGCTGTGGGTAGGCGCCTTGGACGATGGCTTGGCGTGGGCCATTTTTGAACAAAGTCTGCCAAAGTTTGCTGAGGGATATTGCTGGCTGCTGAAGAGCATGAGCAGCGCGACTCTGGGGACCCTGCCGGGAGAGGGGGTCCGAAAGAGTCCGGCTCTGCGCGGCGACTCTGGTGTCGTTGCCGGGGGTGAGGGGAAGGGGCTCTGGGAGCCAGGGTCGGAGCCGGGGCTAGGACCCACGGAGAGGAGACGATGGGACGGCGAGGAGCGTGTGACGGACGGGCTTCCACTCCGTTAGGAGTAGCGGTGGGTGTTCTCCCACGGAGAGCCTCCGAGAAAACCATCAATTATGTAGAGTAGAGTAGAATGTGAAACTGGAGAAGTCAGATACATTATGCATAGGAGGCTTGGATTCAGCCAGACGAGCCACAGCTGGACCGCTTTAGGACCTCGTCAACTTTCGCCATTTCTTGGACCTTTGCTAAAGTGGGTAATAATACAGTACCTACCTTATAAGGTTTTACCAGATAATTCACAGTAAAGTGATTAGACAATGCCCCTGCATGTTCTTAAATACTAGTTGTTGCTGTCAGGGATTAATTTACACAGAATCCAGCTGTATTCATTTAACTGTACAGTTTATTATGTTGAACCGACATTTTCAGAGTGCACTGAAAACTTACTTCTAAAAAGATGCAACACAAAACACAACATAGGAATATATGATTAAAGGAAGATAAGTATGTGGGCAAATAATTGTATCAGGAACTCAGAATATAATTACGTAGTTAAACATTAAATTTTTTCTGTGTTGCCAGGGAAAAAATGGAAAAGAGAGTGAAACCACATTGGTCTTTATCATTCTCTATATATAAAGAAAAACTTATTTATCAAAAGAGAAAAATTCTATTTTGTAAGAGGAATTTATTACTTAGATTAGTAATTCTTAATGTTAATACACACACCCCTTTTAAAGGAAAAAAAATTGAAACTTGACAGATACTTCTGAATATTCCAGTTAAAGAAATACTAATGTAAGAAATTAAAGTGTAGGGCTGGCATTGTGCCATAGCAGGTTAATCTGCTCTCTGCAACACCAAGGTCCCTATGGGTAATGGTTCAAGTCCCAGTGCACCACTTCTAATCCAGCTCCCAGCTAATGCACCTGTAAAAGCAGCAGTGCTTGGGCCCCTGCATCCAGTGGGAGACCCAGATGGAATTCCAGGCTCCTGGTTTCAGCCTGGCCCTGCCCAGCCCTTTGGGGAGTGAACAAGCAGATGGAAGACTGTCTCTCTCCCTCTCCCTCTTTCTCTGTGTGTCTCTCCCTTTCTCTGTGTAACTGCCTTTCAAATAAATAAATGTTTAAAAAAATAAAGTATAGGCCAGCGCTGCGGCTCGCTTGGTTAATCCTCCGCCTGCGGCGCCAGTACACTGGATTCTAGTCCCAGTTGTGGTGCTGGATTCTGTCCCGGTTGCCCCTCTTCCAGGCCAGCTCACTGCTGTGGCCCTGGGAAGGCAGTGGAGGGTGGCCCAAGTGCTTGGGCCCTGTACCCACATGGGAGACCAGGAGAAGCACCTGGCTCCTGGCTTCGGATCGGCGTAGCTCCAGCCATAGTGGCCATTTGGGGAGTGAACCAATGGAAGGAAGACCTTTCTCTCTGTCTCTCTCTCTCACCGTCTAACTCTGCCTGTCAAAAAAAAAAAAAAAAAGGAAAGTATAAATACTTAAAATTGTCCTAAGGGGTGGGCATGTGGCCTAACAGTGAAGAAGCCCTCTTCCCTGTGTCAGACCTCCTGGATTTGACACCCAGCCTTTTTCCTGACAACATCTTCCCGTTAATGCACTCCCTGGGAGGCTTTGATGATGGCTCAAGTAAGTGGGACTCCAGCCACCCATGTGAGAGACCTGAGGTCTCAGCTCCAACCTAGCAATGCCTACTGCCAGCATCTTTTAGAGATCAGACTTGCACATGGTCACTCTATTTGTCCTTCTTGGCCTCTCCAAAAAAGTTTTATGTTTATTTTACAATACCACCAACAAAAAGGAAAGCAAAAGAAGAAGCCTTACTTCATGGTTGTGAGTCATCGTTTTAAAAGAGGTTTTAATTTAGTGAGTGACAAAATGTTTTAAGGAATCACTGAAATAAATTAGACTAACCTATTTTCATTAAATTCTGAAACAGCCAAGTACACATACGCCTTTACCTTGGGAACCTGCAGCTCCTAGTTTCAGAGAAATCTGACCTAGCATGCATGTTTAACAACAGTTTTATGGAAAAGATATCCCCAAAAATCCTTCAGATAGTCATTATTTAATTAATCTTAAATAAAAGCTACATACGCTCTGCTTTAAAATAAAACTGATACCTGTTTTTAAGTTTTTTTCTTTAAAGATTGATTTATTTATTTGAAAGGCATGGTTACAGAGAGGCCGAGAGAAAGAGGGAGAAAGAGAGAGAAAGGTCTTCCATCCACTGGTTTACTCCCCAAATGGCCACAACAGCAGGAGCTGGGCCAATCCAAAGCCAGGAGCCTGGCGCTTCTTCCTGGTCTCCCTCGAGGGTGTAGTGGCCCAAGGACTTGGACCATCTTCCACTGCTTTCCCAGGCCATAGCAGAGAGCTGGATCAGAAATGGAGCAGCTGGGACTCGAACCAGTGCCCATATGGGATGCCGGCACTGCAGGCGGTGGCTTTACCCACTATGTCACTCCACGGGCCCCAAGTTGATATCCTCATGTTAATGAGAAGAGCTTAAAATCAGAAGGAAGATTTAATACATCATTATATGAACCTTATCCACTTGATCCTTTCTATGCTTCTGTTTTGCATTTTTCCAGTACCTTCCCTCCTCTCCCATGAGATAGTAAAATATTGTTCTAAAAGGAAATAAAAACATTATTACTATAATATTCTCCTTGCTCACTATTAGTCAAAGGGGGACTAATAAACAAGGTTAGAGTTTTTGCCTTTTCTAGTCCAGATTGGCATGCGAACAAAGTCCTTGGACAAAGATCAATATTCCATATGAATTTAGATAACAGTCCTTGATGAAATACTCGCAAATGGATTTCGGCAACATGTGAAATGGATTATATGCCCTGATCAAATGGTATTAAGAATATTCAAACGACACATGACAGTCTTAAAAAAGGTAAATATTCAAATTAACATGGATTAGAGATCTTCAAAAAGCTTTGCAAATAATGAATAAATAAATGAAAAGATACTTAAAATCATTAGTTATCAGTGAAATAAATAAGACTACAGTAAGATACCACTTCATGCCAACTAAGAAGAATATAATTAAGAATAAATTGAGGCTGGCACCATGGCTCAATAGGCTAATCCTCCGCCTGTGGCGCCGGTACCCGGGGTTCTAGTCCCGATTGGGGCGTCGGATTCTGTCCCGGTAGCTCCTCTTCCTGTCCAGCTCTCTGCTGTGGCCAGGGAGTGCAGTGGAGGATAGCCCAGGTTCTTGGGCCCTGCACCCCATGGGAGACCAGGAGGAAGCACCTGGCTCCTGGCTTCGGATCAGCGCAGTGCACCGGCTGCAGCGCGCTGGCCTCAGCGGCCATTGTGGGGTGAACCAATGGAAAAGGAAGACCTTTCTCTCTGTCTCTCTCTCACTGTCCACTCTGCCTGTCAAAAAAAAAAAGAATAAGTGGAAAATAACAAGTATTGACAATGATGTGGAGAAAACAGAACTCTCATATACCACATGAAATTGTACATCTGCTTTGGAAAATACTCAAAATGTTAAACATAGCTGTCATTAGAACTGGCAGCTGTCTTCCAGGTACATGAAAAATTTTGTACATAAATGCTCATAGCAGAATTATTTTTTCAAAGATTTATTTATTTGAAAGTCAGAGTTATGCAGAGAGAGAGAGGTCTTCCATCCACTGGTTCACTCCCCAAATGGCTGCAACGGCTGGAGCTGCGCCGATCTGAAGCCAGGAGCCAGGAGCTTCATCTGGATCTCCCGGACCCAAGGACTTGGGCCACCCACCACTGCTTTCCCAGGCCACAGCAGAGAACTGGATTGGAAGTGGAGCAGCCAGGACTTGGATGGGTGCCCATATGGATGCTGGCACTTCAGGCGGCAGCTTTACCTGTTACACCACAGCTCCAGCCCCCAGGATTATTCTTAATGTCTAAAATTAGGGGAAACCCAAATATCCATCAAGTGCTAAATACAGATTCCTTAGGTACTCCCTGAAATTCTTACTTAGATCTATGTTGGATCTAAATGTTTGCAAGAACATGTGATTGTGATTCTGGTATTCCATGAAACATTCTATACATCCTGCTTTACCCTTACCTTCATATTTTTTTAAAATTCTATGATAGAGGCAGAGAGAGAGAGAGGCCTCCACTGGTTCACTTCTCCATTGCCTCAGAGCCAGGAAATCAATTCAGTTCTTTGATGGGAGTGACAGGGACCCTTGTGCTTGAATGATCACCTGCTGCCCTGCAGGGTACACACTAGCAGAAAACTGGGATCCTGAGCAGAATGAGTACTCAAGTCCAGGCATTGTGATGTGGAATGCAGGTGGCCCACATGCTGTCTTTAACAGCTGCACCAAATGCGCACCCCTGCCGTCATGTTTTTAGAAGCCCAGCCTATTCCACACAATATGAAAGAAGCCCCTTTTTGCATCACTGTAGGTATCTTTTTCCAACTTGGGGCAAATAATGTCACTTTTCATATTTTGTAGTCACATTTTCTTTACAGTCCAACCTCTTAACATCTGTGAAATCTCCACCATAATGGGAACTCAGTTTACCTTTCCAGCTGCATCTCTCATCGTGTACTAACCCACCCTTACTTCATATACCCTGTATTGAGGGTATTCAAAACAATTTATGAAAATTATGTATTACAAAAAAAGCTATGCATGGATTTAAAACTGTACAACAAAATAAATTTATCCTTTAATTCCATTTTCCACAAACTTTATGAGGTCTCAGCATACACTAACAACATCACTGTTGACAAGAGAAGCCTGTATTTCAGTTACTGCTCTGGAAGTGACAGTACAGAAATGACCATTGACATCTGCTGGTGGCAGGCATAATTCTCAATATGTAAGTGATAAAGTAAAACATGACAAGTAGAACATCCCCTCTGCTTATTCTTCAAACCTATTCCTGTATTTTCTCATATGGTACTCTGTGTTAGAAAAGAAAATCTTTCCTTTCCTCATCCTCCCCATATTTGCCTTTAAAAATTGTTCTTTTTTTCATAGCCACGCTTATTGGCATGTTCTCTAAAAATCACTCAAGAGCACCCTTACTTGTGTTGTCTTTCCAGAGTTAATCACTCTTCCTTCTGATTTCCTATTGTGCTTTGTTCATACCTAATTATTAAATCTAGCATTAACATTCCCTATTCAACCTGGACTTAATATAATCTGACATGTTACAATTAATGGTATATTAATGTATATCTGTAACTTCTGCTAGATTTTGACCTTCATTCATCAAATAATAAAATGCTCCCATTTATCTTTTTATTTATGTTCCCTGTGATTTCTCCTGCAAGCACAATGAGTTGCAAAGGATAGAAGCTCAAAACATATTTCTTGAAAGAAAATAAATTGCAATGAAAATGGCAAACAAATTCTTTTGTTGTTGTTTTTTAGATTTATTTATTCGAAAGGCAGAGTGAGAGAGGTTTTCCATCTGCTGGTTCTCCCCAAATGGCTGCAACTGCCAGGACTAGACCAGGCCAGAACTTCATCTGTGTCTCCACATGGGTGCCGAGGCCCAAGCACTTTTTTTGTTTCCTGTTTTCGTTATTGATTTTTTTTTTAATACACAGAGACAGAGATATCTTCCATCTGCTGGTTCACTCCCCTGATGGCTGCAGTGGCTGGGGCTGGGCCAAGCAGCTTCCGGGTCTCCCACATGGGTGCAGGAGCCCAACACTTGGGCCATCCTCCACTGCTTTCCCAGGTTTATCAGCAGAGAACTGGACCAGAAGTGGAGTAGCCGGGACTCAAACTGGTGCCCATATGGGATGCCGCCGCTGCAGTCAGAGGTTTAACCTTCTGTGCCACAGTGCTGGCCCTAGGCCCAAGCATTTGGACTGTCTTCCACTGCTTTCCAGGTGCATCCACAGGGAACTGGATGGAAGTGGAGCAGCCAGGGCTGGAACAGGCACTCATATGGGATGCTGGAGTCACAGGGAGCAGCTTAATCTTCTATTGTCATGACCCTAACCCTGGAAAACAAATTCTAACTGTAGAGAATGAAAACTTCTTTTCAAACCTCCTATTGTTAGTTACCAGTATATATTAAGTAAAGGTGTCAACAATAAGAAGAAAAGTATCCATTATATATCTGTTTGCATATGGTGCTTTAAAAAATTATAATTGTAAACACACTTGTGCACATTTACAGGTATTACATAAACAGACAAAATAGAAAATTAAATGAGTAAAATACAAACTACTTACTAGCAAATGGAAATGAAGGACAAGTCATTTAATGGCATTTAAGGAAGCAGTAACAATTTCATTCCCAACAGTGAACTATAGGTGTTTAAAGAAATTAGACTTGCAATGTACCTATAGAAGTAAATACATAATGAAGATCAAATAGTCTCTTATTCTTTCTTTATCACTCAGAATAACAAAAGGAAACCATTCTTTTTTGATAAATCTCATGGAAGAAATAGACTTCAGGGGTAAATCAAATACTTACTAAAAGGGACTGATGTTGAGGCACAACAGAGTAAGCCACTGCTAGCAATGCCACACTGTGTTCTGTATCAGAGTACCAGTTCAAGTCCCTACTGCTCTGCTTCCAATCCAGCTTCCTGATAATGTGCCTGGGAAGACATTGTAAGACTGTGTATTGAAAAAAAAATCAATAACAAAAACAAAAAACAAAGTGCTTGGGCCTCTGCACCCATGTAGGGGACACAGATGAATCTCTGGCCTGGCCCAGCCCTGGAAGTTGCAGCCATTTGGAGAGTACTTACTTCCCTGCAACCCATGCGGGAGACCTGGACAGAGTTCCTGGCTCCTGACTTCAGCCTTGCCCAGCTCTGGGAGTTGTGGCCATCTGGGGAGTAAACTAGCAGATGGAAGATAGCTTTCTCACATACACATGCATGGGCCTCCCTTCCCCGCCCCGAACTCTGTCACTCTTTCAAATAAATAAATAAATCTTTAATAACAATACTTAGTAAAAGACTGTATACTTGGAGAGGGATGTTTCTAGTGTCAAGGTAATGTGGTATAATGAAAAGAACCTGAGTTTTGAAGTCTGACAGGCCTAGGTACAAACTCACCTTTATCACTCAGAATTTGTGTTTTTCTTAAAGTTACTTATTAACTTTATGGTATTACTTTCCTTATCTGAAAATGGAAATTATAATTTATAGCTTCAAATTTATTCTTATTCAGATTGATAGATGCAAGTGTACAGTGCCTTTTGAAGCAAATGTACAGATTTTAAACATTTTTTTTATTTGAAAAGTAGAGTTATAGACAGTGAGAGAGAGGGGCAGAGAAAAAGATCCTCCTTCCGTTGGTTCACTCCCCAAATGGCCACCATGGCTGGTGCTGTGCCGATCCGGAGCCAGGAGTGAGGTGCTTCTTTCTGCTCTCCCATGCGGGTACAGGGGCCCAAGCACTTGGGTAATTCTCCACTGCCCTCTCGGACACAGCAGAGAGCTGGACTGGAAGAGGAGCAACTAGGACTAGAACCCGGCACCCATACGGGATGCTGGCGCTGCATGCGGAGGATTAACCAAGTGAGCCATGGTGCCGGCCCCAGATTTTAAACATTAAGTTCAGAGTAGAAAGCCTTCGTCCATCATTAAAGAACATCAATACCTAGATAAATTAACTTGACCATGCTAATGAAATATAATGAAGAGACACCCTGCTAAGTATAAGGAGCTTACACACAATAACTAAATTATCCTGGCCGGTGCTGCGGCTCAGTAGGCTAATCTTCCACCTTGCGGCACCGGCACACCGGGTTCTAGTCCCAGTCGGGGCACCGGATTCTGTCCCGGTTGCCCCTCTTCCAGGCCAGCTCTCTGCTGTGGCCAGGTAGTGCACCCCATGGGAGACCAGGATAAGCACCTGGCTCCTGCCATCGGATAGGCGCGGTGTGCCAGCCACGGTGGCCATTGGAGGGTGAACCAACGGCAAAGGAAGACCTTTCTCTGTGTTTCTCTCTCTCACTATCCACTCTGCCTGTCAAAAAAAAGAAAAGAATTATCCAGAGTCCTTGAAACTGAGTGTGGGACACAAAGAAAAGCCGGAAATAAAGATGATCAGGAACTAAACCAGACAAGGCCAAAGCATACCCATATCTTAATTTTATTTATTTTCATTTTACTTTAAAGGCACAGAGGCATATCTTCCATTCTCTGGATCATTCCCCAAATGCCCACAACAGCCAAGGTTGAGCCAGGCTGAAACTAGGATCCCAGAACTCAATTTGGGTCTTTCCCGTGGCTGGCAGGGACCCAAGTACTTGAGCCATCATCTGCTGCGTTCCAGGATGTACACTGGCAGGAAGCTGGATGGAAACATGGGCAGGACTCAGTTGCAGGCACTCCAGCATTAAAGCAGGCACAACTGTGGCTTTAGCGCTGTTCCGTAACACCTGTGCCACCTCCCCATGTTTTTTTAACAGAAAATGTTGTATGAATAAAATATTTACTTATTTATATGTTTTATTTAAATTTACATATTTAAAATTGAATATTTTATATAGATATAGACGTTCTGGGGATTTCCTCTGGAGTCAGAGAGGTAATTGTAGTATTTGGTTTCCATGGTTGGATGATTCAGGATTCCAAGAATAATAGTTACTGTTTTGACCTCTAAAGAAGGGACAGCCACATAAATGAGAAAGACGCTTCTCGAATCATGGAGAATTGGAGGTTAGTATCCCTGTATTTTGGAGGTATTTCAACTTTATAACTGATTTAGTATATTTTTATTTTAATTTCAGATTTCACTTAAATTCCTATGTCCTCCCCTGAAATTGCTTCCCTTTCATGGGGACAAATGAAAGTGCAAGGCTGTACCACAACCTATAAGGACTGCAAAGTGTGGCCAGGGGGCAGTCGAGCCTGGGACTGGAGAGAAACTGGAACTGAGGTAACATGCATGTCTTTGGTCAACACTACCAGAGGCTGACCAACTTGAAAGTAATTATTTCTGTCTTTTGTTGAACTATAATTCATTACCATTAAACCCATCCTTTTAAATATACACTTGAATGGTCTTCTTATATTCTTAAGCTTGTTTGACAGTTACCACTGCTAACTGTTTATCACCCCAAAAAAGAAACCCATAACCATTAGGGGTCAGTGCCCATTCTTTCTTGCCCTCAGCTCCTGGCACTGACTCATCTTTCTGATATCATTAATGAGCCTGTTCTAGATGCTTCATGTAAATGAAACTATTCTTTTTTTTTTTTTTTTTTTTTTTTTTTACAGGCAGAGTTAGAGAGAGAGAGATAGAGAGAAAGGTCTTCCTTCCGTTGGTTCACCCCACAAAGGGCTGCTACAGTCGGTGCACTGCGCTGATCTGAAGCCAGGAGCCAGGTGCTTCCTCCTGGTCTCCCATGTGAGTGCAGGGCCCAAGCACTTGGGCCATCCTCCACTGCCTTCCTGGGCCACAGCACAGAGCTGGACTGGAAGAGGAGCAAGCGGGACAGAATCCAGTGCCCCAACTGGGACTAGAACCTGGGGCACTGGCACCACAGGCAGAGGATTAGCCTATTGAGCCGTGGCACCAGCGAAACCATTCCTTTTTCTTAGGAATAGACATAGGGATAATTTGCTAGGTCATATGCTAACTATGTTTAACCTTTTGAGAAACTGCCAGACTGTCTTCCAAAGCAGCTGTGCTGCTGCCTCACTCGACGGGGAGGGGGCAGGAGGCACACATGCTCACCTTTCTTGCCAAGTCTCAGTCTGCTCAAGCTGCTACAACAAACAGACTTAGCACCTTAAACAGTAAACATTGATTCCTCAGCAATTCTGGAGGCTTGAAAGTGTGAGATCAGGATGCCTGTATGGTTGGGTTCTGGTAGGGAGCCTCTTCCGAGTTCCTGTTAGTGATCCTCTCTTGTGTCCTTACATGACAGAAAATGAGTCAGCTGTCTCTCTGGCTCTATCTTAAAAGGGTACTAACCCCATCCATGAGCTGTCTCCCCTCAAAACCTAATTATCTCCCATAGGCCTCAGCTCTCAATAACAGCACTTTAGTGTTAGGGCTTTACCAAATGAACTTTGTAGAGACAGAAATATTGAGTCCATTCCAGCAAATTTGTATAGATTTTTTTCTAAAAATGTTTCTTCATTTGCTGTTTGCTTTTTGGGCCATTTCCAGAGGCTTTTTAAAGGGTTTAAGTTTTAGTTACTTATGTGGGTTTTGTAGGGCTGTTTGTTTGGGTTTTTTGTTGTTTTGTTGGTTTTAATAATTTTCACTCAGGAACAGGTCAGTGGATTTCCTAGGGCGGGTAATGATGGAAAGAGATCCTTCCTTTCTGAAGGATGATCCTGTTTAATGTATCCCTTATCTGAAATGCTTGGGACCTGAAATGTTCCAGCTTTCATAGTTTTTCAGATTTGGGAATATTCACACAGATTCTACCAGTTGAGCATCCCCATTCCCAAAATTCAAACTCCAAAATGCTTCAAAATCTGAAACTTTTTAAGCACTTGATCCAATTTTGGAGCATTTTGAAACTTGAATTTTTGGTGTAGGGCTGTTCAGCCTGTACAAGATAAAGGTAAGTCTGCTAGTAGCCTTTTGGAAAAGATTTCTTAAACTAATAAAAAAGTACGTATGTTCCTAGACCAAATATTTGTCATTAATGTTTTGATAACTTTATCTGTATAAAATGTTTCCTTTGTAATCCTAAATGTTTTATCTTATGTATTTTAAACATTATTCTGAGGGGCTGGTACGGTAGCATATCAGCCTAAGTTGCCAGCTGCAATGCCAGCATCCCATATGCATGCCAGTTTGATTCCCAGCTGCTCTACCTCCAATCCAGCTCTCTGCTGATGGCCTGGGAATAGCAGCAGAAGATGGCCCAAGTGCTTTTGCCCCGACACCCTTGTGGGAGACCTGGATGAAGCACCTGGCTTCGGCCTGGCCTGGTCTCAGCCTTTACGGCCATTTGGGGAATAAACCAGCAGATGGAAGATCTCTCTCTGTCTCACCATCTCTCTCTCTCTCTCTAACTCTGCCTTTCAAATAAATGAATAAATCTTTAAATAAAAAAAATTCCAAACATCCATTACTCCAAGAAGAGAACCCCATAAGCCTCACTAGTCTGCCGGAGGAGCCTGTGGCACAAAACCAGGCCATTGCCCTTGTACAGTCAGATCATCTCGGAGGCTGTTAATTCAAACAAGCGATAATGAGAATGTGACTCAGGCAGTGTCCTCAGGGACAGATTCCAGGAATCTTTTAACCTCAACTTACAGAATCTGTTTTTATCAGCAACACAGCCAGATAACAGCACTGCTACCACCCATTTATGCTCATTTAATTTTGGCAGAAGAAAATGCTCCTTTGAAAGTATAATTTAGGAATATTTTCCTTTAAAATGTAACATAAAATGTCCAAACCATAAAAAATACCATCCTTTTGTTTAGCTGGCATAGTAGGTAGTAGCTGGACATTTTCCCACAATCTTTCTCCCAAGAAAAACACAGTAAGGTTTTGTGTGTGGGTTTTTTTTTTTTTTTTTTTTTTTTTTTTTGGACAGGCAGAGTTAGTGAAACAGAGAGACAGAGAGAGTGAGAGACAGAGAGAAAGGTTCACCCCCCCCAATGGCCACCATGTCCAGCGCTGCTCGCCAATCCGAACTCAGGAGCTAAGTGCTTCTTCCTGGTCTCCCATGCGGGTGCAGGGCCCAAGCACTTGGGCCATCCTCCGCTGTCCTCTCGGGCCACAGCAGAGAGCTGGGCCAGAAGAGGAGCAACCAGGACTAGTACCCGGCACCCCAACTGGGACTAGAACCCAGGGTGCCGGCACCGCAGGCAGAGGATTATCCAAGTGAACTGCGGCGCCAGCCAAACACAGTAAGATTTTACAAACTTGGGTCGTTTGACAGAAAGCCTCTTAAAGGAGAGGACCAGAATCACATACTCAGCAGGGACATGAGCCTTAGTGGTTTGCCCTGAGGGAGTGGAGGAAGCACAGGAGATGGTGCAGTTTGGACTCCTCAGTGACGGTCTGAGGTGCCACTTCCAGGCCTCTACAAAGCATGCACACCCACAGCCATCACAGAATCCTTTTTCCTTGCTCTGTATGCAACACCCTGGGCCTGCTGTGCAGCAGCACAGCCAGATTTATCACTGGAGTTCCACTGCTCCAGCAATTCCGATGGGCTGCGGCTGTCTCCAGCCTCTGAATCTCCAGAGGACTGTGGTTTTGCACTCTCTATGACCTTCCACTTGACTTCCAGTAGTCAGAGCCTTCTTTCATCGTACTACAACGTGAGCTTCAGAGGCTAGAGCACAGTGCTGCTCCAAGGAGGTGCTGTTCTTTCTTAAATAAGGAATCATTCAGTATTTCAGGTAAATGCATTTATTTAAGGAAGGTGAAGATCTTGAGCCCTGATCTATTAAATATCTACCATGGTCACGTCACCAGGAAAAAAAATGTTAAGTTATTTAAATTATATTTTAGTTCCAGGTGTTTCTGGGATTGATCACATCACAGAGCTGTGGAAGTAAAAAAGGGCATCTAATCTATTCTCATGCAGTCTGTAAGAATAGCTGTTGTAATCAAGTGAATATGTATCCTTTTTTGTGTTTTGACTTTTTAAAAGTTATAAACTTCAGGGTAGGCATTCACCCTATTGGTTAAGATGTTACTGTATCAGAGTGACTGTATTCAAGTCCCGGCTGCACTCCCAATTCTAGCTGCCTGCTAATAGTATGCACCCTGGATGGTTGCAGATAATGGCTCAAGTATTTGCATCCTTGTCATCTACAACGGAGACCTGGATTAAGTTCTTGGCTCCCAGCTTTGACCTTGCCCATCCCCAGCCATTGAAGGCATTTGGAGAGTGAATCTGTAGATGGCAGCTCTATCTGTCTGTCTCTTTCTCGCTCTCAAATAAATATTTTAAGTTACAACTTAAATAGCTTCAGGAAGACAATAATTTCTCTGAATCTTTCCTGATCATTGGGAAACCAGGGAAAATGGAGACCGAGTCAGTGTCCGGAGGAGCTTGGACATTAGCTCTGAATCCTTCCCAACATGAGGGTGCATTCTTGCTGCCGATCTGTTTGGTTCACTTTTCCACATGCAGGTGTTCTAACCTGAAACACGCTTTGATATTCCCTTAAACATGAGTATAAACAGTTTTAGTGTAAATTCTCTAGAATGGTGAATATAATGGGATAGCAGTGGGAGAGAATTTTGCTTTATTATCAGCTGTAGAGTACTGACTGAGTCTTGAAGGTCACCAGCTATACACCACCCAAGGAATCAGGAGACATGAGGAAAGCCCTCCTAGATAGGGTGCATCTCTACTGCTTTGTGTAGCCACCTGGCTTCTGTTTAGTTCTGTTACCTTGGGCAAATAAATCAGAGAGCAGGTGCATATGTATATGTGCCTGTATGTGGTCTCTTCCTGCTAAACTGTAACTCACTTATTCTACTACACTTAAAAAATATTTCATTTCAAAATAATTTCAGACATACAGGAGAATTACAAGAAAAGTACAAGGAGGGGCTGGCACTTTAGCATAGTGGGTAAAGCCATCACCTGCAGTGCCAGCATCCCATATGGGCTGCTCCACTTCCAATCCAGCTCCCTGCTATGGCGTATGGAAGCAGCAGACAGTGTCACTCAAGTCTTTGTGCCCCCGCACCTGCATGAGAGACCTGGAAGAAGCTCCTGGCTCTTATCTTTGGATCTGCTCAGCTCCTGCCATTGCAGCCATCTGGGAAGTGAATCAGCAGATGAAGACCTCTCTCTCTTTGTCTCTACTTCTCTCTGTAACTCTGTCTTTCAAATAAATAATAAATCTTTAAAAAGAAAAGTACAAAGAATTTTCGTGTATTTTTCACTCAGATACAAAAGTAACATTTTACCTTATTTTCTTTATATCCTCTCTACCAGT